TACCATAACTAACTGACCAATCTGATCTAACTAAGTCTTATCTTATAGAGCAGATTTCCTTCTGTATTACTCTGTAAAAACCCCCCCATTGCATGTCCTATATCTCTGCCAAGAGGACTGCGTAAATAACTTATTGTTTTGTACAATAACATTTTATTGTCAAGATAACTACAGCAGGGCCATACCTGAGTCAAACACATGACCTTATACATTTAGTCACATGCTGTACTGATTATACTTCTATGTGTAACAACAGCCACTGGCAAAGAGTCTGGCACTGAGGTTGCACAGCCACTGTTGCATTCTCAGGCTACCGTGCCACATAGTTCACGTTCTTCCATTGTTGAACCATAGAGGATTTGTGGTTGATTTACCGACGCCACATCTCTGTAGAAAATCATTAGATTAGAAATGCCCAATATCGCTTGGACATGGGACAAGTTTTCCGCAGCGCAACTCTCACCTCTACCGGTACCACCTTCTAAACGGGTTCAATTCCTACGGTATTGGCCTAAGTCGCTTTCGTCGCCCAGATTCCGCAATCCCTCACTCAGTGCCTTTGGGCCCCAGTCGCTCTAACACACCGAACCCCCCAAAATCCAGGCAGCAAACATTGGATAAGCAGACTACCAAAAAGTCACACATGAAGTGCGAACTTTTCCAGCAATCCATAAGACAGTGATTGTGAATTCAGTTTCCAAGGCAGGGAAAGGCCAGGGAAATTGCCTCGATGAACCCACCGACCAGATGGTCCAAACTCTCCTCCCATGCGAAGCGTGCAAGGGCCGATCTCGCCCAGCAGAATAATAATATCCTTGGCTGCAGAAATCTCCTGGATCTACGATTCGTAAGCACTTCTTTGGAGTCGAATATCCATCCCAGGAGGTTGTTTTTTTTAAAAAAAAATAAAAAATAAAAAAAAACTTATCAATACAGCGCTCGCAGCATCCTACCCGACCATTTGCGACAGCCTGTTTCATTGCGACTTGACCAATCAAGCTGGACACAATACCGGGATTGAGTTTTGCCCAAAACTTTGCGTAGCGTGGGAGCTGCCAGGGACAGTTCACTAATGCTAAGGCTGTGCGCATATTGTGTTTCTCTCGAGACATAGCCGCTTTTTCCAGAATGGAGCTATTCCCATAAACATCACCCTAGATCTGTTCCTTGCCCCGATGGGATGATATTAGCAGAGATACAAACCTGTATTCGGGAATCATGAGGAACAGCTACGGCCAAAGCCTATTCAGTCATAACAGAAACATTTCTAGTGTCACGAAAAATTACACAACTGTCAGCCACAAAGAATCTCAGATCTTGCCATGGATATCAACATGGGAGCCATGGAGGAGGCACAACGATGCGGCTCGTACTCGCGTCAAAGGGGTGGGAGAATGGGTACCCCAAACCAGCGAGTTTGAATCATGGCAGCAGGGAGCAAACGATCAGCCGGTTAGCAGAATTCTGTTTTGCACAGGACTCCTAGAGCAGGAAAGACCTATATCTAGTGTCCCTTACGAGCCGAGCAGCTCGAACGCTTGGATCGAGCTAATCCTAAGCCTTTTCAACCGATTTTATTCTCTCTTTCGAATCGGTAAGGGAAAGGCGGGGAGAGCCCGGAGGAGACTAGTCTCTCTGAGATTACCTTGTATGAGTCGTAAAGATCCTAGTAGGTAGGGCGAAGGCCTCGCACAGATGCCACTTCACCTCTAAAAAATTGGTTGGGCTTATCAGAAGCTGTGGATCGGGAATCAGGCTAGATGCCAATAAGGAATTTCGGGTAGAAGTCAATTAGCTATTCCATAAGCATATAGCCCTTGATTTATTCCCACATATCAAGGGGTTAGGTGGGAAACTAAGGTGTTTGCAGTAGAATCCGGATACCTGTTTTCGTAACTTCAACATCTAGAACAGATCCTCCAGTCAGGCTTACGGTGCGGATCCACCCACTGCTATTGTAGCAACATGCCCCTGATGGAAAGAAGAACTGTTATTATCCATTCAGATTGAGGACAGAACTCTTCTTTATACTAGAGTCTAGCGTACAGAGTTTTCACTAGTGCTATGAGAACCGTGACTGTCATCCATGTTAGGAGATGTCTGCATCACCATTACAACAGCTAGTTCTCTGTTTTTGCGAGTGATACTCTGTGACTGTTACTATAACCAGGATCGAGCCCATGTACTGTCGAGCCGGCTCGTGAGGAACACTACTCATATCCAGTAGGATTCGTGACCCCGCTTACACTCATAATTACTTGTCCCGTAATAGTTCCTCAGTTATGGACATCCTATGATTTGAGACTGCTGTACCGAATACTCCAGTCGCATGCTTATGCTGCGATTACCGCGGTCAGAAAGCGTAAACGGCGGATTTTATGATTGGGAGTCTCCTAAGGGAGTTCGTAATGGGGTTGCCAGTAATTCCGGAAGCGATCGCACAAGCCCTCCAACCGGCGGAGTGTCGGCTCGGAAGAAAGGGCACCAGATCCTGCGAAGATTATCAAACTATTTGCTGTAGCATTGGAACTCTTCCAGCAAGTATTCATCTATGCTGATGCACTGGGTGAGTTTGTGGTGGGATATAGAGTCCTATTTCTAAGCTCTCTAAAGAGAGCTAATCTTGGATAAATCACCGGAGACCAGATTTCCCCTTACTGCGAGGCCCAACATCCGATCAAGGGAGAGAAATGCAATAACCCACTAGATATAAAAACCATCAATACACAATCTCTCTTCAGTGAAATAGAAAAGTATTTGATGACAAAACTATTCACACCCACGGATAACAGCTTTAAGTTTGAAATTACCACGTAAATCCTTGAAGAATTGGAAATGTACGTATAGTTTAATGCTATCGCGAACTTATAGTTGAGGATAGATTAAAGATTCCTTCTTGTCACATTGCAGGCCAATTAAATATTAGAGAAAATTATTGTTGGTTGGAGAAGGGGTAAGCTCCGTGAAACCACATATGGCTTGAGCGACGCCTACAACTTCTCCACAGAGGATACAAGGGCGGCTGTGTGAAGCCCCTATAGTTGGGAATCTCGTCCTTGATGTGTATTTCATGGGCGGAACGACGGCTGCTCCATGCCCTTGCGATGGAAGTTAGATCACCGAATATCGATACCGAAATGGTTCCTCCGATAGGGAATGTTGTGTGATCCTGCACTGGACTAGTCACCATTAACTATGGATCACCAACGGTCCGCATAGCCCATGCTACTTTACAGAAATATACCAGCCCAGCCATCAGGACAGAGCCTACCAGACTCCCCGTGCCAACATTGCTGAGATTCGCTTAAGCTATCTAGGCATTGAACCAATTCGGGAGCTCCCATATGATCATGGAACCGCACCACCCACATTCCAGCTTCTTGGCTATGCTTCCTGTCACTGGAGATCCAATGCACAGAAAGAGCTTACAGCATCTCTAAGGTATCTCGGACTTGGGATTCTGGACCAGCGCTCTCACCATCCAGCCGCATATATTTATTTTATCTAACTGTAGGGTCCCGCGGTACTCACAGCCCATCTCTACGGGGTCTAGCAGCTCGCGCTCTGTTGCATACTTTAGAATCAATGGATTTCTAGACGCACTATTAGGCACAGAACGTGTGGATATAAACCAAGTGGATGAGGGGGGGCCCCACACCTTTGATTCTAGCGACTGGAAATGAGAATGAAGGGGTGAGAAGGATCCTAGTAAACCGCACCAACGTCAACCTCAACTCAGAAGATTGGGATAACCGAACACCACTCTCCCGGGATTCTGCAAATGGCCATGAACAAGCGGTAATGATCCTCATAAGCCGTACCGGTGTCAGCCCCAACTTAGCGGATATTCTCGGCCACAGGCCACTCCACCGGGCTTCTGTAAATGGCCGTGAAGGAGCCGTAGGGACCCTACTAAGCCGCGCAAATTTCAACCCCAACTCAGAAAATTGGCCTGGCCAAACACCACTCTCCCAAGCTCCCGAAAATGGTCATGGAGAAGTGGTGAGAACCCTACCAAGCCGTGCCGATATCGACCCCGACCGACCAGATCACAATGACCGAACGCACTCTTCCGAGCTTCCATGAATGGCCATGAAGAAGTGGCACGGACCCTAGGAAGACGTGATGGCGTTAATCCCAATTCTGCCTTTCTCCTCTGCAGGGCTCCGCTTCGCAATCCTGCCTTGTGCCAGGGACTCACGAGAGTCAGGTTAGCACGAGTCCAGGGTAGACCCTCCAGCCATATCCGCAGTTATTCCACCCCTACCCGCTCAGTCTTCCTCTCGGACTTCTCTTACCACGGTCATCACCCTCAGTCTCCTTCCCTCTCGAAAGCCATTCTTCGTCTGCAATCTAATAACCTTAACGCCGTCTCCGGCATGAGTATTTTTTAGTCTCATCTCAATTACATTGTCTAGCGTTTCAAGTATCATAATATTATATATAACCTCTTCAACATGTACAACATTCTCTCCCGGAAGCCAGTGTGGGGGGAGGGGGTCAAGGTGTCGACGCCTTCCTCCAAAAAGGCTTAAAAAGTTTACCAAAAGCATAGCAATAATGTAATATACACAATTTCCATCCTTCCTTAAGGTAGTATTATACCCGCCATCCCGCATTTTCTCCCCTGATAGTCCTTGGAATTAAGCACTGCGCGATGCCCAACGAAACGCAAGTAGATAAACCTTCCGCGCCCAAAGTCGGCCCATGGCCACCAGTATCATACGGGATTCGGATCCCGATCGCAATACCCGTAAACTGACCACAAATCAACGAATCGTTATGTACATCTACAATCGCAAACACATAGCCTTACCCAAGTTACCCAGCTCACGAAATAATGTTTTACCCAGCGTAGGCGTCTTAGAGAAGCTCTGCCCTTGAGATGGCCTAATCCGCCTGCCACAATTTTATTAGCGGGGGGCGAGGTGGTTGATGTGTTGCTCATGTGTAATCACTCGGTCACGTTTTCTGGCTGGTGGCTTGTAGCTAGGCGCCTGTGGGGTTTGATAAGTTATTGTATTGTATAGTTATCATGGCTATTCTAAGGTTGGAAAAGAGGAATGAAAGGAAGTAAATGCTATGTAGAATGGTAGCTAGTATAGCCTTTAGAGCAAATGAGGCAAACCCCCCATAAAATATCCCAGCACCACTTGCTTCCCCACCACACTCCATAAATCAACCAGTATTTCAAAAAAAAAAACGAAAAATCTAACAATGAGCTCCGCAGGTTATACAGTGTGTATATTATAACATATCACCCAGTGCACCTCTCACAAGGCTCCAGCCACCTCAACCCGACCCCCTCCATAACTCTCCTCTCCGCCTCAACCATCTTCTCACCAACCCTCCACGTGCCATCAATCCCTGCGACCCTCCTGCCAGTAATCCTCTCAAACACTCCTTCACTGGTGAACTTCCACCCATGCTCTTTGTCGCACCAAAGCCTCAAATCCCGCTCGAATGTCGTCCCACCAGTCCAGCCCAGGAGTGCGGAGCCAACGCTTACCGGCGGGACGAGAATTATATCCACTCGGCGATGCAGGCCGGAGGTTGGCGCGAGGAATACCACGAGGGCTTTCTCCAAGGAGTCGAAGCCGTAACTGTGGGTGTTTATGGTTGTTGTGTTGTTGAGTTCTCGGCCGAGGTGTAGAGTGTGCGTTATATGCCCGCTTGCTTCGAGTTCCAAAACGAGCTCTTTCACAACACCACCGGTGGTCATAGTGTGTGTTGTGTGCGATAAAATAATGTCCACGTCGTGGATCTCCATCTTGCCGCGACGGTATCCGCCGACGATAGTGTAATCCATTCCTGCGCGGAGCTTGCCAGCGGCCTTTCCAACGACGGCGGCAATCTCCCTCGCCTCATTCCTTGATATCGGACTTTGAAATTCGTCGAAATACTTGACGCCAATTTGCTGCGCACGGGTAAGTTGGCCCCACCCGTGGTCTACCACGTCCTCCAGTGTCTTCCACCCCCTGTCGTAGAAGAACTCTCGGGCGCCAGCCGGACCGACGCCCCAGATTGAGGAGAAGAGTTTGAGGGCGCTGAAGGAGGGGGACTTTTCCAGTTCCCGGACGACGGCTAAACTGTGGTCCGGGGAGGTCATGTACTCTTGGAAAAGAGCGGAGGATTTCCCATCACAGCCGGGGAGGAGAGAGACTTCTGAAGGGGAGACTAATGGGTAAGGGTAGGCTTGGAGAGTAGCGATTTTTGTCGAGTAGGCGCGGATGCCGACGCCATCAGAGGTTAGGGTCCGTGAGAGCTTTATGGTGTCTAGGAGAGAGATGAATTCGGCGTTGGGGGAGATGAGGGGGGTAGGGCGACAGCAGGAGTATTTGTTCTAGAGTAGATTAGTATCATACACGATGGCGGGCGGCGGATAGGTGCAGAATGGTCTACAAACGTGTTGTTGTACCCAATCGGGCATCTCCTTTAGTAATCTTGGTCTAACCCTCGAGACAACCTCTCCCTGCCTCTCTTCGTACTCTGGTGTGCTTTTCCTTGTCCCATTCTCAGAACCCGGTTCTGACATCGCCACCAACCCATCAATCCCCCTCCGCCGTCTCCCAGCTGCATACAAGAGCTTCATATCCTGGAGCTTCCGAATATCATCACGTGTATCATGCTCTTTCTCCTCCCTATCCCGAACCCGATCAAGCCTAGCTCTCCTCAATACCTCCTTCTTAAGCTGCCGCTCCGCCACATCCTTCTCCAAAGCACCCTCCTGTTCCTCGCTCTGTTCGGAGGACATCGGTGACGGCCGCTTCGACGGTTGCACATAGCCGGCAAATACAATATACTCATCGATAGGAAGAAGTTTCGAATTCTTATGCGATTCCGTGAACCACTTGAGTTTCACAACCCTAACCTTTTTAGCGTCGGGAGCCATTTTTGAACAAACACTGAGTCCCCGTCCACGAAGCTCGAATTCACAGCGCTTGGGCATATTGATGTCCCCGACAAACAGGCTAGCATCAGCGGGATTGCTGGTCAATGGACATTTGCAGGATCGGAGCTGGCTCGAGATCTCATTGGCTTTCGGCTGGGCTAACCGGGTCGGGAGGAGAAATGTTGGCGGGAGGTGGGAGAGGTCAAGAGGCGTGGAAGACATGTCGACGGGAATGTTCAGACGAAAACCGGGAGTTCATCCGATGGGGAAGACGACGGAGACCGGTAGCTATGGGAGGCGGAGAAAAGAGGGGAAGACCGTCTGGGGGAATAACAAGAGTAATAATGTTGATATTTACTGTTGTGGTTGTGACATTGCTCCTTCTAGGTGAGTAATGGCGGGATGTGATATGAGGCGTCAGCTTGCTCTGTATTTGGGTAGGCCCCACACGACGTCACGATATCACCAGTAGAAAATACTATCTCGGGCAGCGCACAGACCATTGTGAGGGGAGAACAGACAGCAGCGGGAGGAAGGGAGGAAGGACAGGATCGGTAACGCTGGTAGGGGAGGCGGTCAAAGCAAGTGATAGAGACAGGATCAAGGGTCACGGGATTGGTCGGGTTGGCTGGTTTTCGATGGATGCAGTGCATACAGTCCGGGAACTTCGGATCGTGTCACACTGTAGCGGTGGTGCAGGGAGGAGAGGGAAGAAATATAAGCGAGTTGGGGGGAATGGAAAGGATTTGATCATCCAGAACCCATTTTATTTTGCAAGACTAGGTGGCGCTGTACGCTGATGGTACGGTACATGTGATACCGGTGCCGATGACCTGGGGCACTGTTCAAATTCAGACTATTTTACGACACGATCTCATTTACAGCAGAAGTCGCGCTCTGTACCGTAGACTTCTCGAGTACTGCGTACTGTGTACTCGAGTATCATGCCGACAAGCAAGCTCAAGCTCCCCCCGACTGCTCCAGATCAAACCCCATAACCATAGCAGACAAAGGTTTGTGCTTGAGATCCCCGACACCGCATGCGATGATACGGTATATACCGGTATTCACAACCCGGGCAACAGGGTCTCCTGCTCGACCACCGGTACCGGTATTGCGCCTCAAGCGCTCACTCTACTTGTAACCTATTGTATCATAAGTTACCCGTGCAGTTCCATAATATTACTGGTATACCGGTAGAACACTTCCAAGACCGCACTCCCCCCGAGTAGACTCAGCCGCACCAGAGGTGCCTGGCACTGGCGCGAAGGCTACCGGTATCCCAGTGGCGGAGATTTATGCCCCATCTGCGGTACCTGCAAAGCCGGCAGCAATCTGGATCAACCTTTACCGTACCGTACTGTACTGGTGCAGGAACCGTTGGCGCCGTACCGTATTCCTAACTGCTGACCCACCGACATCGATCCTTTCTTCCGTCCTTGTGATTCAATGCCCCTTTCTGGCGGAAGAATACAAGCAAACAGAGTCAGTACTGGTGAGAAAAATTGCGCAAGGGGAAAGAGCCTCCCGTCCTTGACCATAAATCGCGATATTTGGTATTATTAGTATCATAGCGGTGGTGGGAGGGTGGTTGCAACCCAAAACGGGGGACTAGTTGCCCTTTGCCAGATTGCTTGATCCCCAAAGCCCTCGCCTCCGCACCCCTAACCCTCGCTCATCCACACCCGACCACGCCCACCCCCCCTTCCTTTCTTTCCCGCGCTGAGAGCCTGAGACCAACAAGCCAGAACACCATCCTATATCATCAATCGCTCCACGGTCGCGTCCCTCTCACACCATCGTCCCTATTGAAGCCCAAAATCTGCTGTCCGCTTCTAGATCCCAATGGCCCGCTCTTCCCGCCCTCTCGCTGAGGACGAGGACGAGCAACACTCATCGTCGGAAAACGCCTTGCAATTTCACGAACCCCTCTCATGGAAAGCTGGCAAGCCTATTCCTACCGGCACCCTCATAACCCGCCTCAAGGCACTTTCGAAGGAACTTGTCGCGCTCGAGCAAGAGGCTGTGGATCGTGACAGTCTGGCAACTCCGGCCAAAGAGCTGGTGTCAGTCGGCTTACTGCAACACAAAGATAATGGCGTCAAGGCCTACACAGCTTGCTGCTTAGCAGATATGCTGAGACTTCATGCGCCGGATGCACCTTACACCGCCGTTCAGCTCAGGGTCAGTACTGCTTCTTCCCCGCACTGTTTCCGCGCACGCGACGATTGTTTGCCCCCATTGTTTTGGGGAAATTCGCCTGTTACTCATTTTTAACTGAAATGTCCTCGTCACGTGTAGGATATCTTCGAGCTCTTTGTACGACAGCTGAAAGGGCTCGCGGACGCTGAAAATCCATACTACCAACAATACCTCTACCTTCTCGAATCACTGGCATCCGTAAAATCCGTCGTCCTGATATCCGATATTCCAAATGGTGAGGCCATCACTCTCAAGATTTTCACCACCTTTTTCGACCTAGCAAAACCGGATGGGCCCAAAAATGTAGAGTACCAAATGACCGATATTCTCATCCAACTCATAGAGGAGTGCAATTCTCTCCCGACGGAGGTGGTGGATATAATTGTTGCACAATTCTTCCGAGTCAACCAAGCCGCTCTCCAAAACCTGGCCGGCAAAAAAGCGAAGCCGGGCGTGCCGGATGCGAAGGACAAAGGTGCGGGGATGGCTTCAAAGGGAAAGGATGAGGACAAACAAATGAAACTCGTCAGTGCTTTACCGCCGCCCGCATACAATATGGCCAAGTCTATCTGTAATGCATCTGTCGATAAGATGGCACGCCACATCTGCCAGTATTTCTCTGAAGTCATTCTCGACGCCTCGCCTGCTTCAAGAGCACGCAAGGCCGGCGGACGACACACATCAATGTCTCCAGGCTCCGACCTGGACGATCCGGATGCTGAGACTGCAAATCATGAGCCCTCCGCGGAAGATCTGCATGAGCTACACAAAGCCCATCTCCTCGTAAAGGAACTCTGGAAAGCTTGCCCTGCAGTTCTGCAGAACGTAATACCCCAGCTGGAACAAGAGCTTTTGGCGGAGAATGCGGAGCTACGAATACTGGCGACCGAGACAATCGGCGATATGGCACTGACAGGAAATTTCGGCAGCTCGGCGCCCGTCACCTGGAAAGCATGGATTGGTCGTGCCAATGATAGATCAAATATTGTCAGGTCCAAATGGACAGAAGCAGCAATCAAGATCATCAAAGAGCGCTCTGATCTTATGGCCGTGCAGCTTGTCGAGCCTGTGGCGGGAAGACTTAATGATCTAGATGATCGAGTGAGATTAACTGCATGTATTTCACTAGGTGAACTCGATTACACAACCATCACAACCAAGCTGGGCGCAGATCTTTCTCCATTCAATACGTACGATACGGCAGCAGCGGCTGGGGCTTCTACCGGAAAAGCCAAGGGGAAATCTAAAGTTACCGAGGAAGAAACATCGGGCTGGGGAAAGAAAATCCTGCATAATTTGGGCGAGAGGGTTAGGGATAAAAAGTTTTCAGTCAGATGGGAGGGGATGTTTTGTCTTGCCCGGATGTGGAACATGGCATACCCCGATATCCTCTCGGGTAACGAGGTTATTATGAATCAGCTCGGCTGGATTCCTAGTAAGATTCTAGATACATTCTACATCAATGACGCTGAGGTCAACGTCCTGTTGGATCATGTTCTGTTTGGTGTTCTGATACCCGTCAACTTTCCGCCAATTGAAAAAATAGAGAGTAGGATTGCTGCTGATAGGCAAACCAACGGAAAAAGCAACGGAAAGGGGAAGGAGAGAGATGCTGCGGAGGCAGAGAGGGCAAAGGAGAAGGAGATACAAGAGGGCGATAAAATCCGCGTTCAGCGATTATTAGTCTTGGTGAGAGGCCTGGACCCAAAGGCAAAGAAGGCATTGTTTGCAGTTCCATTGAGACAAATCTCGTATGCCAAAGTCATGGATGTGTTTTTGAAATCTTGCGAGGATTATAATGTAAGGTTTCTTCCTTTTTTTTTTTTCTTGTTGGGTTGCTAACATGTCGCAGGGTGGCATAATTGACGATGGCGTTGAAGAAGACCTCGTCAAGAAGGCGCTTCACAAGTTTATCGAATGGCTATCCCAAAAACTCCCCGACACCCCCAAAGCCAAGGAGAATTTGATGAAGTTTGCAAAACTTCATGACCGCCGATGTTACCAACTAATCAGATTCTGTTTCAGCCCTGACAGCGACTACAGAACGGTAGTCAAAGCGCTCAAAGAGATTAAGAAGAGGATTACAGAAGCACCTGGATCCGCGATGACTATTATGGAGACCTTGACCCCCTTGTTATATAGAGTCAGTCAGCTGATCTACAACAAGAGCCATGTGCCGCACATTGTGGAGTTTTCCAGGACGGATGAGTATTCACTTGGAGCTGTAGCGCATGAGGTTCTGAAGGTATATATGCCGATGGCGGAAAGGTTTAGATGTTCGCTTATTTTTGATTAGGAAATGTCGTCTTCAAATCCCGCTGTATTCAAAGCAAATGTTAAAGCTCTCTCCGATCTCCTCCAAGAACAATCCTTGTCCAAGAACCATGGTGCGGCAGATTCAGGCGCAGTGGATACGCTAAAAGCCTGCGCGGGCTTCGCCAAATCGTATCCTAAAGACATGCCCCAGGAGCGCAAGCTTTTGGATGCGCTAGTCAATTTCTCGTTGACCGGAAGGCCCCCTGCAGCAGCCAAGCATGCGGTATCCATTTTAATGTATTCCGCCAACCGGAAGGTTATGTATGCTTCAGATCTACTTAGGGCGTGCGTTAAGAATTTCAAGTTCGGAGAAGAGCACTTCTTGGCAAAGCTGGCCTGCCTTTCGCAATTGGTGCTTTTAGCACCCGACCAATGTGAGGACGAATCTAAGGCAATCACTGCCATCGCCAAAGGTGTGCTATTCAAAGTGAGGAACCCGGCGACAGAAGAGGATCAGGAGAATTCAAAGGAGTGGGTTGATGACGAGCTTCATGATGATGAGTGCAAAGCAAAACTGCTTGCCCTCAGAATTCTGGTCAACAGACTAAGGGCTAAAGCTGAGACTGGGGCTGGGACTGGGGCCGGTACTACATTGGAGAGTGTCATGACATTGCTTGTCAAACTGGTGAATAACGAGGGAGAGCTATTTCCGGAGAAGAATACACCGTTCGTCACCAGATATTTCTCTCGCACCTGGTGAAGATTTCCGCTAACTCTGAACCTGCAGGCGACCGCATCAATCCCGCCTCCGATTACTTGCGGCTCAGTCATTGTTGAAGTTGTCTTACTACAAACCTTATGAGGAGCTCATCACTCCACTCGACTTTAACAGACTAGCCTGCGTCGCCCAGGACAATTGCTTTGAAGTTCGCAATGGCTTTGTCAGCAAAGTTAAGAAATATCTCGGCACAAACAGGCTCACGCCCAGGTACTATACGATCTTATTTCTCATGGCATATGAGCCTGTTACAGAGGCCAAAAATGAAACAATCACCTGGATAAAGGCCCGCATGGTGCACATGAGATCGACAAACAACATGATGGAAATTGTGTTCGCCAGGCTTCTAAGCCTACTCGCCCACCACCCAGACTTTGGTACCATGATAGACGACCTCGCAGACTTTGCAAAGTAAGTCCTCCCATATCCTTTCTCTTCTCGCTTTTTCCCTCCTCCACCTTTCATTATTCCTTGATTTTCCAAGCTACCCGCGCGGAGTGGAAATAAACCTCCACACCGCTCTCCCAATTACGACGAAGTCTAGGGGGAATCAAAATGCCGGGGATAGAAACTTTCGAAAACAAGGAACAGAGACAGACGGAGCTGATGAAAGTGTGCGCGCATGGTTCTGCAGATTCATCCTTTTCTACCTAAAAGCCGTAGCGACCGAAGAAAACCTCAGCCTGATATATCACATCGCCCAACGTGTCAAGCAATTCCGCGATGGGCTAAGCAAAGACAACAGCGAGAACCTCTATTACATCTCCGAACTAGCTCAGGCAGTCGTACGCCGATACGCCGACTTCCATCACTGGAACATCCAGATATGGCCGGGCAAGATCCCCCTCCCGATTAAGCTCTTTGCGCCGATGGCCAGCGAGGAAATGAGCCGCGGCATCGCTATGAAGACTTTCCTTCCAGTGGGAATTGATATCAAGTTGGATAGCCTGATTAAGCCCAGATCCGCTGGTCGACAAGGGAAGAAACGCAAGTCTGATCTTGCAGCCCCCTCAGACCGCACCCCCTCCTCTGCTACTCCCGCGAGAAAGCGTTACAAAACCTCCCCATCGGCGGTAGCCACCCCGGCAACCGCTTCCAGAGATGGACCGGCCACAGCCGGTGGGGCGGCAGAGAAGCGCAAACCTGGCCGCCCACCAAAAACCCCTAAGCAGAAGAAGCGACCTTCGGCAGAGATATCCGCGTCGGAGCGCAGGCGCAGTGGAAGAGCCACCAAGAACGTCAAGTATGCCGAGGATGACGGGACGAGTGACAGCGAGGAGGAAGTCTCTCTCAACGACGATTCCGAGAGCGACGTTGAGATGGAGGATGGAGATGAGGCTTCTGATAGGGAAGCCTCACCCGAAGCGCCAGATCCCGAAGCCGACGAGGTGGCAGTGGAGGAAGGGGCAGAACAAGAGGAGACAGAAAAACCAAAGAGAACGGCGCGTAGCGTCGGGCGACCGAAGAAGGATGCAGTTGTGGCCATTTCCTCCGGAAGACCGAAGAGGAAGGGCGCTACTACTGCCACCACCGCTGCCGCTAGCGCGAATGGCGGGAGGAAGAAGGCCGCGTTACCAACCAAGAACAAAAAAGCAGGGGTGAAGCGCATTGAAGAGGAGGATGACAGTTCAGAACTGTCAGATCCACCGTCGGAGTTGAATTAGTTTGCTTTGTTCGTCTTTCCTCACCCCCTTAGCTCCCTTTTCCTTTGTGGTGTGTCCCCCGTAACAGCGAGGGGATGGAGCACAGCGGGAGAACTACAGTAATGAAAAGAAATAATGACCCTTGGCCGTGAACGGGGGGTTGCTTTGTTGTTGGGGGATGGTTCGCCTTATTATGTTCCCTCTTTCCTTTAAGTTAGTTACTTTGTCCCTTCTTAGTTGACTTGTGTTTGCCAGTTAGCCGGTTTTATGTTGTGCTATTTTGATGGGTGGGTGGGTAATGTACATGTTCCCAGGTTATGATTGTGCCAAATTCGTGACCGGTGAATCGGCCATGGCTGCTCTATACTTCAGCTTACGTCACGAAAAAAGCAGCGCAGGTGTAAGCTCAATGGGGAGGCTAAATTCAGTTTGCTTTTGTTGTTGATTTCCCGCTATCTTTATTAAAGTATTGCATTTGCTTCTGTGGATAGGTCACGATGTATCACTCGTGAGTTGTTTTTTTTTGTTTTTTTTTCCTATTGTTAACTCCATCACCCGGGATGTGTGAGCCTCATGTACTTGTATCATAAATGATGGTTAAAACCGATCGTCTGCGGGTTCGGCGCCAGTATCCGTCGCTCTTGAAGTGCGTATGATACTATCACGGCTCTTATTGTTGGGCAATACGATAGCTCCGGTAAAAGGGATTGCGCCCCTATTTCCGTCTCGCCTTAGAACCCTTATCATGCCGGAGCGTGCTAGACATTTAGGGGGTGTTTGGCAACCGTGGTTTGTAAGGTAATACCTTATGAACTGCAGTTTATAAGGTATTTCCTCTCAAACAACAGCTTGTAAGGCAGGATGCGTTTGGCTCCACAAAGTTTGTAAGGTAAAAGTTTTGTACCTTATGGACTATAGTTTGAAGGACCTTAATTAGGGCTTGAAAAAAAAAAAACCTACTGCAAGTAAACTTGATAGTTGATATATCTACAAAATACATAAATACCTTGAATTTGCCTCTAATTAAACCTCTTATGATATATTTATTGCATTAACCTCATTGTCATTCACTACTTAAAGCCAAAAGGGTGAGATCCAGAAGATCAATCTCCAACCCCGAGGTAGATAGATTGTATGACTAAAGCGAATCAGGAGGGAGAAATTATGTCTAAAATTCAATTTAGGGCACAAGTCTAAAGGGTTACAGGGGGGGTTTTTTTTTATAATTATTATAGCATCATAGAAATTTGAAGGTGTTTGACAAGGGATACCTTACAAATTGCAGTTACCTGTACCTTACAAACTGTGGTTTGCCTTACCTTACAAACTTTGATGTGCCAAACACCCCCTTAGTCTGCCCCCAGCAGACTCGGGGAAATCACCTGTCGTGGGGGGATACTAAACCAGCCTACAACCCAGTCAACCAAAACTAGCACCTTAGGAGGATAGTGGAGAGTCAGACCCTCACTCCTCGCGCACCAAAAGGGAAAGGTGAAAGGCCAGAGTGAGGTATATACCAAAGTGGGAGGCTGCTTTGGTATCCCTGTCGAAATGGGGATAAGAGAAAGAAAAAAAATGCAAAGAAACGGAGTACAGCGGGAAAGGTCTAGAACATTCTGTCCCGGCTGCTGCTGAAACAGTACCGTAAAAACTCTTGAAATCCGCCATCTCAGGCCTGTGACGAATATCCCTGCGAATGGCGACATCAGCTCAGATAGGTTTAGCTTAGCAAGTTAGCTAAATTGCGAGAGCAAGTTAATGAGATTCAACACAGCCGAGTGGCTTGCGTTATACTATATCAGGAGACCGCTAATCCTTCTTAAGAGTCTTTGCCTCAGAAGCCGGAGATCACAGGGATGACAG